CCTACAGATTGGGAAAAAATATTTGGTAATAACATATCTGACAAGGGACTTATCTCTAGAATTTATAGAACACTCCAACACCTCAATAACAAAAAGACAAACAATCCAATTAAAAAATGGGCAGAAGACATGAACAGACACTTCACCAAGGAGGATATTCAAGCGGCCAACAAACATATGAAGAAATGCTCACGATCATTAGCTATTAGAGAGATGCAAATCAAAACAACAATGAGATACCATCTTGCTCCAGCACTAGTAGCAAAGTTCAACAAGACAGAAAATAACAAATGCTGGCGAGGTTGTGGAGAGATTGGGACTCTCATACACTGCTGGTGGGACTGTAAAATGGTACAACCATTGTGGAAAGCAGTATGGCGATTCCTTCAAAAGTTGGAAATACAAATACCATTTGACCCAGCCATCCCATTACTAGGTATATACCCTAAAGAAGTGAGAGCCATAACAAGAACAGATATATGCACGCCGATGTTCATCGCAGCACTATTTACAATAGCCAAAACTTGGAAACAACCTAGATGTCCAACAACTGAGGAATGGATAACCAAACTTTGGTACATTCACACAATGGAATACTATGCAACGCTAAAGAATAATGTAGAATCTGCAGAACACCGCATAACGTGGATGAACTTGGAGGACATTATGCTGAGCGAAATAAGTCAGTCACAAAAGGACAAATATTGTATTAGTCCGTTATTGTAAAAGTTAAGGAAATGTTTATATATTGGAGGACATTTTCTTTGTTGGTTACCAGGGGTGGGAGGGAAGGGGAGGGAATGCTGTTAGATAGATAGAGATAAATATTGATTTGGGTGAAGAGAAGGGCAATGTACCAAATGTGAGTGACCAATATGGCAGCATTGAGGATGAGAAAGACAGAGAGAGTTACATGGGCAGTACAAACAACAAATATGAACCCCTTTGTAAATACAATACTGAGTTGTTAATGAAAGCAAATATGGGTATAGGGACGGATAGATGGGTGAACAAGCTAAACAATTATGTATGTCTAAATGGAGAGTGTATCCAAGATCATATACAGGGTTGGCAGACAATGGGCCTCTCGAAGAGTATGAAGGGATGGACACTGGGAGGAGGTAACTATGGGGAGGAAGTGGGAGGGGAGCTGCTGCATTGTAAATTTTGGTCAATGACATGAGACAAAGTATATGTGAACTGCTGTATGAAAAGTGAATTTACTCTGTAAATCTTCACCCAAATCCTAATTAAAAAAAAAAAAAAAAAGGAAAAAAAAAAAAAAAGATATTTATGTTACAGCTAATATAAAGTAGAATTCTGTGATTTTATTGGTAAATATATTTCATTTTTCCTCCTATCTTTTCATTCCGTTGTTTTCTATAAACATTTTTATGTACTGTAAATCTCAAATAATATTTCTCTTTCCTTCCCTAAAGGAGCATTGGTAGCATGGTGATTTAAGTACTTGATTGCCAATTGAAAGGTCTATGGTTCAAACCCACCAGCTGCTTCATGGGAGAAAGATGTGGTAGTCTGCTTCTGGAAAGATACACAGCCTTGGAAACCCTATGGGGCAGTTCTAATCTGTCTATAGGGTGTCTATGAGTTAGAATCGACTAGATGACATTGAGTTTGGCATTTCTTCCCTAAGTCATCTCTAACAAGATTTCATGACTTAATAACGTTTTATCAATAACTATGCCTTGTGTTACCTGTTAAATCAAGTTGAAATGCTTCATAATCTGGCTCCATTATACTTGTCATGCCACATATCCAATTTCACTTAACCCAGCCCTCTGTTCCAGCTAGACTAGGCTTTTGATTTCTTCTGGAACAGCAAGTTGCACTTGTTGCCATAGTCATTTGTGAAATAAATCTCACTTGATGCCAAGGTAGAGAATCATAATACATGGTCCCTGCTCTCAACTTTAGTGGCATATTCTCACTTGCCTTATGTGATAATTCATACCTAGAATATTCAACTTTTTCTCTTCAGATTTTATGTATTTTTTCAGCTTTGGCTCTAATTCTACCTATTCCTTAAAACCCTTCTCTGACTACATTGTGTTGTTTCCATATATGTTTTGTGGTAAATAAACAATAAATACTTCTAGTGTGGAATATGGCATAGAAGGTATCCAAATATTTGTTGAACAAGTTAATTTTTGTCATTTCATTCTGTATTCTCCAAGTGTAACTTCTCAGCAAGATTGTAAACTCCCTGATGGCAGAAGCTTTTTTTTTTTTTTTCCTCTCTCTCTCTCTCTCTCTCTCTCTCTCTCTCTCTCTCTCTCTCTCTCTCTCGCAGTATCTAACACAATGCTAGGTGCTTATAAAATACTTACACTAAATTGAATATTAAGCTGAATTTGTGTAACTAAAAGGTTATTTTTGTGAGGGGATCAGTAAGGACTGTAAAATAATTTCAGGTCTTACCTTTATGATACCAAAGGAGGTATTCATTCCTGTGGTAGTTAAAATTGTCAACTTCTCTGGGCCTGGGTGAGTGGCTGGGCAGCTGCATATAGTTATTCCCTTTAGTGAGATTGACAATCAGTTCCATGATGCAGTCTACTGGAGCATCTGAGTCGCTGCTTTAGAGATGTGATTTGCTTCCAGTATGTAACAGGCGGTTTGAGGAAAGTCTCTAGCTTCTTGGGACTCTTGGATCCTGCAGGTAGCCAAGTTGTTATTCAACAACCTGCCATGCCCTGCCAATCTTGGGACTTCTTCTGGACTTGAATTAGTGTCCTGTCATGTTTGGTAACATTAAGACTGTGCCTTTTCACTTGTCGACCTTGGTTTTTGTCAGCCTCAGCAGCTGCTGGCTGAGTATATGAATGAAGAATAGCCTCTAGCTTCAGTGGTCTGGGAGCAAGAGGCAGAGCTAAAGCCCAAGGTTGAGGGGCTTTCGCCCAGCCCCTAGAGCCTGACAGTTTGAACTCAGACTTCAAGCCTCCAAAATTGTAAGAGAGTAAACTCCTGTTTGTTACAGCTATCCCATATGTAGTATAGTCCTCTCAGAGTGGTACGAGGTAACCAAAACAATTTCCACTTGAGAGACTGCACAAATAATATCAAATGAGTGTGCTTCCATGTTTCCTGCATTACCTGATTGACTATTGATTCTGAGTTAATGAGCTTGCCCCTCCTCCCACTCTGTCCTTGATTCTTTAATAAGACTCTTTTTTTTTTCTTTTTAAATGATTTGGACGAAAATTTACAGAGCAAATTCACTTTCCATACAGCAGTTCACATACACTTTTGTCTCATGACATTGACTACAATTTATCACAATGCAACAGCTCCCCTCCCACATCCTCCTGATAGTTACCTCTTCCCTGTGTCCATCCCTCCATGCACTCCTGCCCCATGAGCTGTCTCCCTGTGTGTAAACAGCCCTTCTTTCTCCCATGATTGTTCTCTCCAGGGAGTGTATCTACCTCAGGTAAATGTTCAACTCATATGCCTGTCTTTTGTTTGGCTGGAAGCCACAGGTGTGGGTTCAATTCCAGACCTGAAGGGCAGCTAGAGGCTATAGTCTCAGTGGTTCCACCAGGCTCTATCAGACCAGTAAACCTGGTTCCCCCCACCCTTTTTTTTTTCTTCAAATGATTTTGAGCTTGGTTCCACACTATTCTCCCTCTCTACCCAGGATCTCCTACATATATCCCCCTCTGAGTGGTTGACAGTGGTAGCCGGGCATCATCTAGTTCTTCTGGTCTCATAGTCATATAGGCTGCAGATCACATGGTGTACCAGTCGCTAGTACTAATTCTTTCCATGAATTTTTAGTTTTCTTCATTCTTCTTTGCTCTGGGCGAGGAGAGACCCATCATTGCATCTAAATGGCTGCTTGCAAGCTTTTAAGGTCCCAGTTGCTACTTGCCAAAGTAATATGTGGAACGATGTTTTGTGTAGTATGTTATGCCAGTTGAGCTTGATGTCCCCTGTGGCTATGGTCCCAAGCCCACAGGTTCAACTACTTGGTCCCTCTGGGTAGAGCTGGCTGTGCCCAAGAAGTGACTACAACCTTGTCCCTTGTCAGCTCTACTATACACCTGAGAATTCAGATCATACAAGTACACTTATAGGATCATTGTCTGCCAACCCAGTATATGGTCTTGGGTACACTCCCCGCTTCATAGACATACCTAATAGTTCAGCCTGTCCACCCATCTATCTGCCTGTATACCCATGTTTGCCTTCACTGACAATGCATTACTATATGTGCAAAAGGGTTCATCTTTGTTGTCTTTGCCTCCCATGTACCTCTCTATGTCTTCCTCTTCCTCAGTTCCACTATGTTGATCACTCACATTTGGTACATTGCCCTTCTCTTCACCTAAATCAATACTTATTTCTACCTGTCTAACAGTGTTCCATCCCCTCCCTTTCCACCCCTGGTAACCAACAAAGAAAATTTCCTTCCACAGATAAACCTTTCCTTGACTTTTACAATAACGGACTAATGCAATATTTGTCCTTCTGTGATTGAGTTATTTCACTCAGCATAATGTCCTCCAAGTTCATCCACGTTAAGCAGTGTTTTGCAGATTCTCGGTTATTCTTTAGGGTTGTATAATATTCCATTGTGTGTGTATGTACCGTAGTTTGATTATCCATTCCTCAGTTGATGGACACCTAGGTTGTTTCCATCTTCTGGCTATTGTAAATAGTGCTGTGATGAACATGGGTGTGCATATGTCTGTTCTTGTCATGGCTCTCACTTCTTTAGGATATATACCTAGTAATGGAATAGCTGGGTCAAATGGTATTGCTAGTTCCAACTTTTGGAGGAATCGCCATACGGCTTTCCACAATGGTTGTACCATTTTACAGTCCCACCAGTGGTGTATGAGAGTCCCAATCTCTCCACATCTGCCAGCATTTGTTATTTTGTGTCTTGTAAAATTTTGCTACTAGTGCTGGAGCAAGATGTTATCTCTGTTTCCTATAACTTGTTCTTAATGGTTTTTTTTTTTTTAAAACTCTAGTATGAAGTGTAACAGAACAGACTTTACCACCTGAAACTGCTGCTTCAAGTTCAGATCAGGCAAGGAACAAACCTCGTAACAACCAACAAGACCAAAGAAGAGTACACTTAAGTTGAAGACACAACACTTGATCTGAAACAAGAAGTTTGTGCCTACTCAACAGCTTTGAAAGAGCACTTCCCAACGCTGCTAGTAGTCTTTGTTTTCTTCAGTGCTGTACTGTGAGATTGCCCGGTGCAGCAGCAGTTGTATTCTTTATTAGCTTGATAGATCATTTTTCTCTCGCTCTTTTTTTTTTTAATACTAGCAACTTTCATCCTTTGAAACGTGTGCTGAAAAAGAAGAATCAGCAGATACTACTGAAAGTGCAATATTTGATTATCGCTGCGAGGTAGGTTTGTAGGTTCCTGTTGTGAATAACTGGTTCTGTAATTCTGAATTTCTTAATTATTTGTCAAATATAAATCTTCCTGATCTGTTCTTTCTAAAAACTCACTGCCATTGAGTCAATTTTGACTCATAATGACTCCTCCTTGGGTTGCCAAGGCAGTATCACTATGGAAGTAGATTGCTCAACCTTCCTTTTGAGGAATGGCTGGTGGGTTTGAACTGCTAGCCTTCTGGTTAGCAGTCAGATGCCTTATGCACTACGCTACCGAGCTCCTGTTCTCTCGAAAGGTAGTCTGAAAACAGTTTTTATATTCTCAACTAAAATTGTACAACCACTGTGGAAAGCAATATCATGATTCCTTAAAAAGTTGGAATTACAAATACGATGTAAAAATAGCAACGCTAGATTTCACTTTTGGGGGCGCGGTATCTCTTGTTAGGTTAAGGAGCTCTGGTGGTACATTGCTTAAGGTATTTGACTGCTAACCAGAAGGTTGGCGGTTCAAACCCACCAGCTGCTCTGCATAAGGAAGATGGGGCAGTTTACTTGCGTAGAGATGACCACTTTGGAAAACCACATTAGGTGTTGCTTTGAGTCAGAATTGACCCAATGGCAGTGGGTTTGGTTTTTTTGGTTTATTGTAAGGATATGACCAAAACTGGGGGGTTTTCAAATAAGATTATATTATTAGTATCAATGTATACTGATTTTTTTGCTGTGTTAGTCTGTTGGAGAACTTCCATCTATACTATTTAGAAGTTAGGATTTCATCTCAGAATGCCTTTCCCAATCTTTGTACTGTGTCTGGGTACTCTTAAGTTTTGTTAGGGTACTGATCTCTGTTTTTCTCTTCACTAGTCCCCATTTCCTTTTCTTCCCCTCTATAAATGTTAGCTTTTTAAGAGAAGTACCTTGCTTTATATCTAGTACTTACATGCCTGTCAGCTGATATTCAGTGCATGTTTGTGAGTGAATGAATGACATGCTTACAATATTGTCAAGCATTATTAGTACTGAAATATAGTAATAAGATGTTTAGGGGTTTATGAGTTAAAACAATTTATTACAAAATATCACAATTTAGTATAGACTAAGTAGAGTTGTGTAAAAAATGCTAGGAAAATATAATTGAAGAAGCATTTAATTTTCTTGGAAGGGAGAAAAAGAAAGCCTACAGAGGAGGGATATTGAAGGTAAATAGCACTTAATTAAGAGGAACAATAAGCAGTCTTCTGGAAGAGAGAGAGAAGTAACAGAATGAACAGATTCAGGGAGGTGTGAAACTACATGATGTATATATATTGAGAGGTGTATTGTGAACATAGGAGTTCTGGTGGCGTAGTGCCTAAGGCATTTGACTGCTGACCAGAAGGCTGGCGGTTCAAATCCACCAGCCACTCCTTGAGAAGACGATTGGGCAGTCTACTTCCGTAGTGATACTGCCTCGGAAACCCAAGGTGGGTTCGCTATGAGTTGAATCTGACTCGATGGCCGTGAGTTAGTTATTGTGAACATAGTAGAGGATATGCACTTTTTTCTTCTTAATTTTTATTGTGATCTGGGTGAAAGTTTACAGAGCAAATTCATTTTCCACATAGCAATTCACAAACACTTTGTCTCATGACATTGACTACAATTCCCCACAGTGCAACAGCTCTCTTCCTAGTTCCTCCCCATAGTTACCTCTTCCCTGTGTCCTTCTCTCCCATGCACTCCTGGCCCCCGAGCTAGGACACACACTTCTGTGGGATGAGAATACTAGAGTAAGGAGGCTTACTGCAGTCAGATTCTGACAGGCCCAGTATATTTGTTTATATTCTGTAGGAAAGCTGTCAGATGTTTATAAACAAAGGTTTAATGTATTTTTGTTTCCCCAAAATGAGATAGCTTTATTCCTTCAGATTTCAAAGTAATAGTGTATTCAGAAGTTTATTTTTAAAAGATAAATGGTGCCATTTGTGAGGGATAGGCTGAGGATGAGACCTGTTCGAAGATGGTGGGTAGAGGGTAAGGAAGATAAAAAACTAGGATATAGGAGGAGGAACCAGGGAATAAGGGATAGAAGGAATGACTACATATTTTAGTGGTAGCAGTGATAGGATGACAGGATTTGGTAATCATTTGACTAGGAAAGTGGGCCTGGGCTGAATTGACTTAAGTCTGTCCAGCTGTCCAAAGTGAAAACCTTTGTTCATAGGAGTAGGGAAGTTTGGTGCTTGTTGAAATTATATTTTCGAAATCTATCGTGTTCATTAGATAGTGATATGAAGTTAAAGAAGATATAATAGAATGGAATGTTAAAACAATGGTTATCTTTTGGTGGAGGTTATGAAGGGCAATTTTCCCTTTTAATCTTAAGTTTCTAGATTTTCTAAAATGAGTAGAAATGAAAACTTAGAATTCAGAAAAGCATCACCAGTTTATAGGTAATGAAGAGGAGCCAATGAAGAGAATATTAAAAGAAATAGAGGAATTGAGGGGAGTATAATCTTAAAAAGGAAGGTAATATTAAGGAGAAATTGATGATACACCTTTTTTAAAAAAATGCTGCAGAGGAATGAAAATGGATCATTCTTTAAAGTGTTGTGTTATGTCACCATTTTAAAAAGCAGTCAAGTTTTGTCTTCAACCTATTTAAAGGTCGTGCTGTACTGTTGATGACCTTACTGTAGACCAGAATTATTCCTTAAGAACTGAAAACTGCCAGTAATACTAATCTATTTTAATTATCTGTGTTCCACAAATAGATACTCCATTACTTAATTTTAAGGTTATTGTTGAACTGTTTACTTTTTCTACTTGTTTCTTCCTACCTCTGCCTCTGTTTTCTTTTTTTAAATTTACTCTGATTGTTATCAATTCTATTGGATTAGAGGGGGAATGTAATGCAAATTGAAACTGCAGTTTTATATTTACTGTTCAAAAGGGTCAAAAATGAGAAGCTAAGGCTTGGATTATTTCATTTTCATGACTTGTGGAAACATTTAAACTGTAAGCACTTTTTATTAGCTTAATTGTCATATTCTGAATATTAGTTTTCTACGTGAACTTTTTATATTCACCCTAAGTAAACAAAAAATCTGTTGCTGCCATGTCAGTGTCTGCTTATGACAAATACGTATTCACATTAGCTGTATAAAAATTAAGTCATATGGTCGATCACATCTTTACAAGCAGATTAACAATTGGGGTGAGTGTATAAGCATTAAAACAGCTCTGAATGTACAATTGTGAATTAATTAAAGCAGGGGCATTTAGTCATATGATAACCAAAAAACCAAACCTACTGTCATTGAGTCAATTCTAACTCACAGAGACCATATAGGGCACAGTAGAACTGCCCCATACGGTTTCTGAGGCTGTAAATCTTTACAGAAGCAGATAACATCATCTTTCTCCTGGGATACAGCTGGTGGGTTCAAGCTGCTGACATTTTTGGTTAGCAGCAGAATGCTTTAACTAACACTGTACCACCAGAGCGCCTTAGTCATGCAGTAGAACCCCATGTTTTTTTTTTTTTAATTGTGATTTGGGTGAAGATTTACAAAGCAAATTCACTTCCATACAGCAGGTCACATATAGTTTGACCACAGTTTACCACAATGCAACAGCTCCCCTCCCACTTCCTCCTGATAGTTATCTCGTCCCAGTGTCCATCCCTCCATGCACTCTTGCCCCCTGAGCTGTCTCCCTGTGCATAAGCAGCCCTTCTTTCTCTCATGATTGTTCTCTCCAAGGAGTGTATCTGCCTCAGGTAAGTGTTCAACTCATGCCTGTCTTTTGTTTGGCTGGAAACCACAGGTGTGGGTTCAATTCCAGACATGAAGGGCAGTTAGGGGCCATAGTCTCAGTGGTTCCACCAGGCTCTATCAGACCAGCAAACCTGGTCCCCCCCCCATTCCCCCTCGAAATGATTTTGAGTTTTGTTCTACTTTGTTCTCCCTCTCTATCAAGGATCTCCTACATAGATCCCATTCCAAGTGAACCCCATGTTTTTAAGGGGACTTTTGTGAAAATAGTAAAACTAGTACATAATTAAGAATGAGTGAATAGATGCAAAAGAACCTTAAAAAATGACATGGAAGAAAAGGCTTATTAAGTTTGTTTAGCATATGAAAACAGGAATTGGTTTGGTGACTGTTAGGATCAAGATAGTCTAATGTAGACGTAAGAAAAACCTGTTGGTGTCAAGTCAGTTTCAGCTCTTAGGAATGAGTTCTCATAGAGTAGAACTGCCCATAGAGTTTCAAAGGTTGTAATCTTTACAGAAGCAGACTGCCAATATCTTTCTCCCTAGGAGGAGTGGATGGATTCAAACTGCTAAACCTTTTGGTTACCAGCCCAGCCCTCTAGTCTAGAGAATCAAGACACAGTCACTTAGTACTGTATATTAATCAGGATATAATAGTGAAATACGCTTTAATGATTGTTTTGTTCTTAATTGCTGTGGAGTCGATTCTGACTCATGGTGACCCCATGTGTGCAGAGTAGAACTCTCATCAAGTTTTCAAGGCTGTGACCTTTTGGGAGCATCACCAGACCTGTCTTCTAAGATGTCTCTCGGTGGGTTTGAGCTGCCAACATTATAGCAGTATTCAAGTGCTTAAATGTTTGCACCACTCAGGGACTACATATCCAAAGATAGCATTTGGAACAGAAAGTCAAAAGGACTAGTGGAAGTTATGGGAGGATATGGTTAGATTAGATATACAGTGCCTAAGGCACTTGACAGCTAACCAGAAGGCTGGTGGTTCAAACCCACCAGCCACTCCTCCAAAGGAAGGTTGGGCAATCTACTTCTGTAGTGATACTGTCTCGGAAACGTAAGGAGGGGTTGCTATGAGTTGGGTCCCACTTGACGGCACACAACAACAACAACAACAACAACAGTGAATGAAATTGGAAGCTCTGGTGACATAGTGCCTAAGGTCCTTGACTTATAACCAGAAGGTTGGCAGTTCAGACCTACCAGCCACTCCTTGGAAGATTGGGAAATCTAC